GGTGATTGCAAAGTGAAGCCTTTATTGGTGTATCACTCTGAAACTCCCAGAGTGTTCAGGAAAAACAATGTCATCAAGGATAATTTGTGTGTGCTGTGGAGGGCAAACATATTGTAAGGCATTGGTTACTAGGGACTTTTTCTATGACTGGTTACACCATGCATTTGCCCCCACTGTGAAAAATTACCTAATTGAAAAGAAATTAGACCTTAAGTGCCTCCTGGTATTAGACAATGCTCCTGGTCGTCCTTCAGACTTGGCAGAGCGACTTTCTAGGGACATGAGCTTCATTAAGGTGAAGTTTTTGCCTCCTAATACCACTCCTCTCCTGCAGCCCATGGACCAGCAGGTCATTTCCAACTTCAAGAAACTGTACACAAAAGCTATGTTTGAAAGATGCTTTGTAGTGACCTCAGAAACTCAACTGACTAAGAGAGTTTTGGAAAGATCACTTTAGCATCCTCAATTGTGTAAACATTATAGGTAAGGCTTGGGGGGAAGTGACTAAGAGGACCTTGAACTCTGCTTGGAAAAAACTGTGGCCAGAATGTGTAGACAGTTGAGGAATCCATTGTGGCATTGGGGAAGTCCTTGGGGTTGGAGGTTAGTGGGGAGGATGTGGAAGAGTTGGTGGAGGAGGACAACGAAGAACTAACCACTGATGAGCTGCTAGATCATCTTCATCAGCATGAGGCCACACCTGAGGAAACTGCTCCGGAGGAGGGGATAGAGAAATTGAAGAAGTTGCCTACTTCTAAGATTAAGGAAATCTGTGCAATGTGGCTTAAAGTGCAAACCTTTATGGATGATAATCACCCTGACACAGCTACTGCAAGCCGTGTTGGCAACCTGTACACTGATAATGTTGTGAAACACTTTAGAAATGTCATAAAGGAACGGGAGGTACAGGCCTCTATGGACAGATATGTTGTGCGACAGAAGTCCAGTGACTCTGAAGCTGGTCCTAGTGGCATTAAAAGAACAAGGGAAGTAACCCCGGAAAAAGACTTGCTACCTCAAGTACTAATGGAAGGGGATTCCCCTTCTAAACACTAAGAAGACCAACACTCTCCCCTCCTCCCATCCCATCAATCATCACCAGATCTTCAATAAAGGTAAGTGTTATGTAACTGTGCATGTCTTCTTCAGTTTGTGTGTATTAAAATTAATATTTCATGTGGTAAAATTTTTTTTTTCAATACTTTGGGGTGTCCTGCACGGATTAATTTGATTTCCATTATTTCTTATGGGGAAAATTAACTCGACTAACGATAATTTCGATTAACGATGAGCTCTCAGGAACGGATTAATATCGCTGGTCGAGGGTCCACTGTATATACGTTTGGACCGTTTACGGGTTAAATGGTCCAAAAGTAGATCTATGTCCACGTGCGGGGAGTCTCTGAATGTAGATTAAGTTTTTTTTTTTACATGCTTTCAAATGGGGAAAATCAAGGTTGGAGCGCTACGCACGTGAACGTAGATCTACGTTTGGACAGTTTAAGGATTAAGTGTCTTTTCTGTAATCTGCTTCGTTTTGATCAGACAATGTATGTTATAGAGGTTTAGGGTTTTATGTAAAAAAGTTTAGACATTTTTGTCAATATTACTGCTGTCAGCTAGCTCTCTCTGCCAATCAATGTCACTTAGTGCTAATATTAAATTGTTTACCAATGTCTCGTCATGCAGGCGAAATGAGATCTTTCTAAAGTCTTGAGGCAATTTACATAAGTTGGTTATGAGAAAGGTGGGGTAGTGGTCTGTAGTGTTGTCTGTAACTATACCTGCTTGTAGTGGGGATATCATGTTGGTCCAGATATGGTTAAGTAATGAGGCAATTGTCTCAGAGATTCTTGTTGGCTTAGTTATAGAGGGTAACAACAAGCAGGTGTTCATAGTGTTTGTGAAATCACCTACTGGAGGGTCAGTTGCTTGGATGAGGTTTATGTGAACTCTCCTGTAAGTATCAGGTGGTGTTTATTCAACTCTGACTCAGTTATCATGTTTCTAAGGTTTGAGTGTGGTAGTCTGTAGACTGCTACAACTGTTATAGATTTCTTAAGTTTTTTTTTAACGTGAATTTAGCTATTATATATTCGCCGTTTTCATCCCTTGTGCAAGTTGATTTCGTACATTCCACTTCATCAGAGTAATAGATGGCAGTGTCTCCTCCTGGTTGGTCAGGCCTGCAGTTATGTATGGCTGTGTAAGCAGGTATGGTGAATATGTCTGTCAAATCTAGTTTGAGCCAGGTTTCAGTAAGAATAATGAAAGTTATAGTAGCATTTAGAGACTTCAGTAATGCAAGGAGGTCATCATATTATTTACTCAATGATCTAACATTATAGTTGAAAACTATAATGTTCTTGCTGGCACTGAGTAGCGTTTTAGCCTGACTAGCAGTGTAGTAATGGTAATTTCTGTTAGGATTATTTGTGCAGTTCAATAAGAGGTTGATATCAGGATCGATAATTGCATTCAAAAGGGGCACGTAGAGAAATAAGCTGTTGAAATTATCGAGAAACCAAAAACATTTGCTGTTAACCACTAACAAATATTAATACTATATGGACTAAGATTATTATTTTAAAGCTAAAAATAAAAGAGCTACTGAATATAAAAATAAAACAATGAAAATAAAACACTTCAGCACCTGAATTAGCACCTTAATTACTTTAAAGCTAAAAGTAAAGGAGCTACTGAATATAAAAATAAAATAAACTATAACAGTGGCATGTGCTGTCAGTGGCCCTATAAACCCCAACAACATTGGAGGAGTTCATTTCGTTTCGTTCTTTTCCTATTGCTTAATGGCTTAACTTACTTGCTACACTCTTAATGCTACACTTTATCGCTGAACTTAACTACTACAATTTTATTTTTTTTTTTCATTTCACTTTTCACTGATTTACTTCCTACACTCTTGACCCTTTCAGGGTCGGTGTCGTACTAGTACGGGTTGCACGCCAGGGTTGGTGCCGTACTAGTACGCGTAAGTTCTAGCGCCTTCAAATCCAGCAAGAGAAAGCTGGTAGGCCTACATATGAAAGAATGGGACTATGTGGTCAGTGTGCACAGTATAAAAAAAAATCCTGCAGCACACAGTGCATAATGCGAAAAAAAAAATCCCACCATGTTTTTGGTTTAAAACAGCGACTTTGTAGTGTATTTTCGTATGGTATTTATGGTTGTATTCTCGTTTTCCTGGTCTTATTTTATAGAATGGAAGACATATTACAGAAATAGAGATGATTGTGATTGGTTTCACAATGAAATATACCTTGAAATAGAGCTCAAAATAACAGAAATGTTTGATTTTTGCCAATGTTCAAAAGTAAATGAATCATGCCACACATCCAATACACGTCAACTGGAGAGTCTAATATTCTTTCACAAGTGTGCTGATATTATTTATACCATTTCTACACTAATACAGTAGTCTGCATAACAGTAAATCTTCCATTTTTTGTGAGAATAAAAATTCCAAGTGGAAAGAAAACGAAATGTAAGAGAGGCTTGGGGACGTGGCTAACGAACAGAGAAAATTTTATTTTAGTGCCAGGAATGTCTGTGTTGTTTATTCTGGACCCTATTTGGAAATTGGCATCTTTTGAAATTTGTGTGAAATTGGCAAAACAGCCAATTTCTGACCACTTCATTGGATAGTTGAAATCGGTAAATGAGTGGTTTCTTGTACTCATTCGATAGAACAAATGGAGGTCTTGTGAAATAGTTACGATTTTTGTCGACTGGTACATTGGAATTGGCCGAAAATAGAGCTCGAAGTGGACAAAATCGCCGATGTGTCAACATCGTTGAGACTGCTAACTTTGCAAGAGCATAATTCCATAAGTTTTCCATCAAATTTCATACTTTTGGTGCCATTACAATCAGGAAAAGATTCTCTCTCATTTCAAAAGAAAAAATAAATTTTTTTTTTTTTTTTTTTTGAAAAACTTTTGACCCTGAGAACAAGTTAAGGAGAGGGCCTCTCAACCCTGAAAGGGATAATGCTACAACCCACAACCCACACACCTTGTTTATGCTTATCTATGGCTTCATGCTTTAATTCCATGGACATCATCCTCTTTTTCTTCTCAGCACTGTCCTTTGCACTTACTTTTTTTAGGATCCATGGTTAGAAATAAGAAATTTGGCAAAATAACTGCACAAAATGCAAGCAAAACACAAAAGAAGTGCTATAAGGGGGAAGCGCTGAACCCGTAGGATTATACAGCACCTGTGGGGGGGGAGGGGGTAAGGTATTCTGGCTTAATTAAAGGAACTGGAGCACAGATCCAATTCCCTAGATCAAGAGACCCTCACCTGCATCAAGGAACCTCCCTCAAGGGGGAAGCTTGCTCGTAACTAAGATTTTGGCTCATAACTCGGAGCAAAAAATCGACTGAGGAACAGCTCGTATCTCGAAAAACTCATATGTTGGTGCACTCCTAAGCAGAGGTTCCACTGTATTTTTATTTGACTACGGTCATGTGTCAAGAATGGTGTGTCAGAGTCATGTTCTCGTATAAAATCCATGTTTTCAATGACTATTTTATGGTTTTCACATCAATTTCAGCCCAAAAATATCTAAGAACACCACTAATAGGTCTATAGTGTGTAATGAGAGAAAGAAGGCTCTTACAAGTCAGTCACTCAATAAGCTGGCATCAGGATCGCAACTACTGCATGGACAAAGTGTCATTAAAATCAATTTTAAAATTAGCATTCAAGTTTTTACAAATCTTATGCCACAGTATATGGTAGTTCAGTATAGATGTGGTGGCTTCCTATAATTTAGTAACAAGATACACTGATGTATTCTATGAATACATCAGCCCATGATGCACTTAACCAGTTGGCCCAGTATCTATCCAAGGCTCTGCTCCCACAGTTCTAGTAATTGAGCACTCACTCTACTGAATATCATAATATCATACTGTATATGTAACATCAGAAGAGAAAACTGAAAAAAATAAAATTATACAAATTTGGCTCACCTGGAACTCTCCACACATAGTGGGCAATGTGAGGATATTGTGGATGTCTTCGCTGTGGAAGTCATCCATGTCGATCTCAGCAAGGTTAGCATCCAGGTTTCTGGCCAATGTCTCGTACGAGAGGTCTTGTAACTGGCCTTGGCTTGGTTCCAGCACTGACACCCGGCATGATCCGTCGCGGCCAGATGAGAGGGATGGTGAGCCAACCTCTCGGCTGTAACTTTCCCGGTACCTAGCGCATGGCAGGCTGGGTTAATGGAGGCATAGGCACAAGCAATGGTGAAGGCATATCAAAGGAACGAGTCAGGATTTAAGGTAGTAGTAGTAAAGGATCAGGATATAATAAAAAGGTTCAAATGATAGTGACCAAGACATGAACAAATTCATTTTGCAGCAAGGTCAGTTGAAAATAACAGTTACAAAATTAATTAAAGCAAGTGTAGTAGTAAAGTAAAACAGAAGCACACATTTTGAAAAAGTTTAGAAGATACACAGTATAAGAAGCATGATGGAACAGTAAATAAGTCACATACAATGCAGAAAATTCAGGCAGAAGAAACAGATGTGGAGCAACAGAGAAATGGGTGGACAAAGAAAAAATATCAAATTATCATTAGATGAAGGGTGAGAATTGTGACAAGCCAGTCAAGAATAAGTCGAGCATGATATATTGAGCAATGATTAGTATCCACAGGTGGTCAATATTAGGCAGGTGCAAAGCACAAACAGAAAGGGAAAGGGAAAGAGAAAACAGGACAAACATTAATAAAAATTTATATACAGTATAGTACATCTTATTATTAATCATATATTATTTTAAACCTTTAACCGAGCCTAAGTTCCAAGTACTACTGTACTGTATAATGCTTCAAGATACAGAAGGCTTTGTAATTACCCATTTGTAGATACAGGAGTAGAGCAATGCTTGTGATATCCCATCTTCTTTAACCCGTGAACAGTCCAAACATATATATATACGTTCACTACCCCAGTGCCCCAAATATTTTGAAAAATAAAAAAATACTTTTTTTTTTATTGAAAAAAAAAAAGAAGTTTTCTAAGCGTTATAGGATAAAAAAAAAAAAATTTAGGGTCAGTACTTACCGAGATATGAGGCCACAAAGTTGGCACTTGGAGATCACCTGGCAGCAACATGGAGCACTGCCGCTTGCAGAAGTGTTGCCGATATATCTTTTTTTCCATTTTTCATGTTATTTTATATCATTTTTATGTTCTGATAATTACAATTTATATTAGTTCTTGTCATTTCATAACTAATCTTTGTTCTGACACTAGTATTAGGTACTGAAATTGTACTCACATTGTCACAAACACATTGACAGGTGAACATTTACACCTGCCTTGGTCATTTACTATCGTCTTTGAATACCTACCATCCGACTTACGACCGAGTTCGGTTCCGAGAAACCGGTCGTAAGTCGAAATGGTCGTAAGTTGAATTTTACTACTGAATATCAACAAAACATTTTTGTAATGACTATTTTATTGTTTTATTTGGTATTTCATGTTTTACTTTACTTTTTATGTTGTTAGTACTGTATTTTATACTGTAAGGTTTAGGATAAACACTGTGTACAACACAAATAGTTGTTTATTTCCCAGAAATTTGGCATAAAAAAACACGGTCATAAGTCAAGTGGTAGGTGTATATACAAAGTATTTATAGGTCCCAGCAATGTTTTGGATATGTGGAAGTATATAATAACAATGAGAATGACGAGGAGGAGGAGGAGGAGAAGAAGAATAAGTAATAATAATAAAATAATAAGTTCCCATGAAGCATGAAAAACAAAGTCCACCCCTGACAGTGACATGATAAGAAGAGATAACATTTGATAAGAGCTGACCTTTGATGAGCATTCGCAAGGGTGCAGTGATAAGACTTGATAAGAAAAGGTTAGGGCCTGCTTTGTTTTTGCTGGTACACAAACATGTCTGTCTATTTGTCTGTCTGTCAAGCTCCCTGTCTATCTGTCTATCCGTCTAGCTCTCTGTCTCAGAGAGCCACAATTTGTCACCACATTTACTCACATCTTCAAGCAGAGTATAGCACTCTGTCTAGATTTTTTGGGTTATCCTAGGTAATTTACACTATGTATACTTGTATTTATATGTACCTGTGAGACAGAGAGAGACAGATAGATAGAGACAGAGATAGACATACAGACAAATGGATAGAGAGCCAGGCTGCAAGCAGCCAGACAGCCATGCAGCTGGACAGCCAGCTAGCCAGCCAATCACCTAGTCAGGCAGCCAGCCTGCCAGTCAGTCAGAATTGTTTCTCTTTACTTAGGGCATAGGTTACAAGACATTCTGAAAAGGTGTCGCACAAATATTGCACATGGGTTATTATCGAGGTTTTTTGATATTTCCTCAACCACTTGTGGCCACATCCACCTCAAAGCCACTAAACTCAAGGTCAAAATCATTTTCCTCTTAAAATAGGAGTGTTAATACTACATGACATCAGTGAATCTCAGGTGTTTGCTGCGCTGTTTGCTCAAGCTGGCGCTCATTTGAACTGGTGCTCCCACAAGGTACTAAGTGGTCCCAGATTTTTTTAATACCGCGCACACTGATAGAACCCATTCTATGCTGACAAGGCATCTCAGGCCAATTGTGCCGAATTTAAAGGCAGGAAAAATAAAACGTATATCTATGGTTGGGGCACTAGCGGTAAAAACGTATATAGTATACGTTTGGACCGTTTACGGGTTAAAATGTTCATTGTATGAATTTAAAAAAATATCCAATAGTTGTAGCACTACCTCCTCTCTCAAGTTATTCCATTCTCCTACCATTCTATTTGTAAAGAAAAACTTCTAAGTATCCCTTCAGCTTCACTTTCTCCTTAATTTAAATCTGTGGCATCATGTCATAACTACTGAAAGTACTACAACACTTCATGCATTCATATCCTTATATAACCTTGTTCATGCTGAGTGACAGGAGGTAACTCCTATCACCCAGCATGAACATAATTTTTCAGCCTCTAAAAATCATTTTGAAGGTTTTCTTCAGACTTTTCTATCAGATCCATTTTTTTTTTTTTAAGTGTGGACACATACAGCAGCTGTACATTCCAGTTTTTATATATACAATGCAAACAGCTGTTTCAGCATGTCTCCATCCATATACAGTATGACTTATTAAATAGTTAAGCCACTGTAGCATATGCATTCCTCAAATTTCATTTACATGATCTCTTGGTGACAACTTTTTATTAATAACTCTAAGATCACTTTCTTTGTATGATGATCAATACAATTTTGTCACAATCTGTATTCTTTATATTATCTGTTTTCTTTCATCTATTTCAATTTTAATTTTTTTTAACAAGTCGGCCGTCTCCCACCGAGGCAGGGTGACCCAAAAAGAAAATCCCCAAAAAGAAAATTCTTTCCTTTCATCATTTAACACTTTCACCTCACTAACATATAATCACTGTTTTTGCAGAGGTGCTCAGAATACAACAGTTTAGAAGCATATACGTATAAAGATACACAACATATCCCTCCAAACTGCCAATATCCCAAACCCTTCCTTTAAAGTGCAGGCATTGTACTTCCCATTTCCAGGACTCAAGTCCGGCTATATAAAAATAACCGGTTTCCCCGAATCCTTCACTAAATATTACCCTGCTCACACTCCAACAGCTTGTCAGGTCCCAAATACCATTTGTCTCCATTCACTCCTATCTAACATGCTCAGGCACGCTTGCTGGAAGTCCAAGCCCCTCGCCCACAAAACTTCCTTTACCCCCTCCCTCCAACCTTTTTGAGGACGACCCCTACCCCGCCTTCCTTCCCCTACAGATTTATACGCTCTACATGTCATTCTACTTTGATCCATTCTCTCTAAATGACCAAACCACCTCAACACCCCCTCTTCAGCCCTCTGACTAATACTTTTATTAACCCTTTGGGGGTCGGCAGGCCCTCTCAGAGACTCGTTCTCAGGGTCGCCCAAATTTCAAAAAAAAAAAAAAAAAAAAAAAATTATTTTTTCTTATGAAAAGATAGTTTTTTCTAAACATTATAGGCTAAACAAAATTTTTTTATCATCAATATTTACCGAGATATGGAGGCATGAAGGTGACAGAAAATGCCCTATGTATGGTATCATCGCGACTGCCGTCACCCGGTATTAGTAATTTGTTTTTGTTTTTTTGGGACTATTTTCTATTATTTTTTAATTTTTTTTTCCAAGTTACTTTTATGGCCTGTGAGACCAATATTAGCACTATTTTATAAGTTTTTCTCTTTATTACTCACTAATCCACAACATGTTGACCCTTACTGTTTATTGTTGTTTTCACCCAAACGTATAAAAATGTTGTTTATTACATTTCTAATTTTTACTATACAATATACAGTCACAGGAATGTTCTAGAAGTCTGCAGCCTGTGGAGTCTTGAAATGGTGTATGACATGGTTTACACTCTACATAAACGGTGTCTCTGCGTTGTTGTGGGAATTTTTTTTTGTTGTGACAGACGTAACACCTCTTCTGAGCCGTTTTCTATGAAGCATAGAGGCTGTTTACTAGAGTGATCACTCATGCTCAGACAAGAAGGTATTGTCGATAATTAGTGAGCAGTCTATTGCAGGTTGTCCTGGTACTTGAATATATTGTTGATGACAGACAAAAGAATTCACCTTATGATGGTTTTTACTGTCCGATCTTATGCATATAAAGCATTGGCATGAAATGTCCAGAAGATGGAAAAGAGTTTTTTGTAACTTATAACTCTGCAACACAATCAGCAAACCCTCTCATGGTCACATTGTCCAATGAGCGCATTTGAGGTGTAACATCACAGCTGTAGGTTTAGAATGGGTTCATGCGGTCATTGCTGCTGCAGTGCTGCCATTTCTTAGGTGAACTGATGACAACAGTGCGACATCTCGTTTGTCATGCCACCGAAATGCCATGATGTCACTGGCAGCAAACGCCTGCACCTCACCTCTACGAGTGCCAGCGTCAAACCTGGGCACATGCTTATGATTTGCACACACACTGTGCCACACACATCTGTCATGTTCACTCGCAAAAAATCACTGAGTGAGGGGCTTGTGTACCAGTTATCAGTATATAAGCCCCTTACCAAGGTATGGTTCTATCATTGTTCTAACCACATCCCCAGAGATGCCCAATAACTTCCTGGTATTTTGCAATGTATAACTTCCAGTGTACACAATAATATCCAATACCAGACCACTGTAA